ATGGTTGAAAATTGTCAAATTGGAGGTTTCGCTGATGATACAGAACTTTCTTATAGTTTTGATAGCAGTCTAGTTGAGCAAGCGTCCGAATCTATAAATAATGACCTTTCAAGAATTCTGGATTATGCTAATAAGAATAACCTTAAATTAAATGCCTCTAAATGCAGTGTCATGACCTTTTCCCCAAAAAACAAAAAAGAATATATCAAATCAAATTTACGTATTTTTGTAGGTCCTACACAGCTAGAAATAGTCGACAGGGCAAAAAATCTAGGTATTACTTTTGATACAAATTTGAGATTCAATACCCACATTTCTAATACTATAAAAAAAGCGTATTTTGCATTAAAACCACTGTACTATAACAAATCAATCATCAATTTTAGGTTAAGAAAAAGGCTTTGCGAATCATTAGTTCTTCCGATTTTGAACTATTGCAATATAGTTGTCTTTCCATGTTTAGATAAAAAAACTGCGGGCAGGCTGCAGAAATTTCAAAATGCTTGCTGCAGATTCGTCTATGGTTTGAAAAAATTTGAAAGAGGTATATCCACAAAAATCAACCAGCTGGGCTGGTTACGAATGGAAAATTTATTTATTTGTAACTTGACCGTGTTTGTACATGGAATGATTTCATTCTCCTCTCCTCCCTACCTTCGACGAAAACTAATTCAAAGAAGTCAAGTACATGAAGTACATAGTGTAAATCTAAGATAACTAAATGGGTTTACAATGCCTCAACATCGTTTAACCAGTTTTCTCCGTAGTTTCACTTATAATGCAGTAAAACACTACAACAAGTATTCAAATATTGTTGAAAGTAAAAATTGCTCTGTTGCAAATTTTCGAAAGAATGTTAAAAACCATTTATTATTGGAACAAGGGAACAGGGTTTGATCAGATGAAAATCATACGTTTCTTTTTAATGGTAATGTAAAATACTGTTTCTTTTTTTTGTATCTTTTTTTTTTTTTTTTCAGGGTAACATTTCTGTTAGTTTCATTTTTATAGTGATTTTAATAATTATTTTTGCTAGCTATATATTCTGTACTACCATCTACAAATATTTTCTTTTGTTAACTTAAAGGTTAAGTAGAGTAGCCTAGACTTCGCCTATTTGTAAAAATTTATTACAATAAAGACGTTTCAATTCAATTCAATTCAATTCAATTATTCTGAAATTTCAAAAACTGATATCTTCATTGAGATTAGCAAACTGCCAAATAAACTTACTTCTGACCCGATGGAATACCAAATTTTCTATTAAAACAATGCGTCTGTACCATTGTGCTGCCTTTGCATTTACTATATAATAAGTCTTTGAAGTTATCTACATTTCCTGACAAATGGAAAGTTAGTCATATTGTTCCAATATTCAAGAGCGGTAAAAAGGACAATGTGGAGAACTATCGCAGTATATGTTTCCAATCAGCTATACCTAAACTGTTTGACTGTCTCGTTAGTAAACAATTGCATTGGCAGTGCAAAGGTCTTATTTCTCAAAAACAGCATGGCTTCTCAGAGGGCAGGTCAACTGCAACCAACCTCATAACTTATCAGTCCGATATTTTACTTAGCATGGAGAACAGGAAGCAAATAGACGCGATTTACACAGACTTCTCGAAAGCTTTTGATCGAGTTGATCATCATATATTGCTTCAAAAACTACAAAAGTTTGGTTTCAACTTTGGTCTTGTTCTATGGTTTGAGAGTTCTTTGAGGGGCCGTGTTCAACAGGTTAAGATTGGCAGTTTTTTCTCTGATATTATCTATGTTACATCAGGAGTACCGCAGGGTGGACATTGTTCACCACTGCTATTTAATATTTTTGTTAATGACATTGTTGATTGTTTTTATATAGTTTATGCTTGATATTTGCAGACGATATTAAATTTTGGAAAACTATTGAGACCATTTGCGACCAGCAAATGCTGCAGGAAGATTTAGATCGTGTGATAGAATGGTGCGTGTCAAACAAATTATTTATGAATGTAAAGAAATGTTGCTTTATAAGTTTCACAAGGAAACCAAACAGAATCGGAACAGATTATACAATAGAAGGTCAACAACTTAAGTATGTATCATCCGTTGCGGATCTAGGCGTTATATTCGATGAGAAATTGTCATTTGTTGAACATGTTATCTCAAATATCTCAATAAGTATAAGGGGGTCAAAAATGTTAGGTTTTATTAATAGAAACTGCAGGTATTTTTCTGTTGAATCAGTGAGGCTTGTTTACTGCTCTTTAGTGCGGTCAGTGCTAGAGTATGGTTCAGTTGTGTGGTCTCCCTTTTTTCATGTTCACTCTGCATTATTGGAAAGAGTGCAACATAAATTTTTGAGAATATGTGCTTTTAGGTATAATTTTCCTACAATCATTGACCATGACTACGATAATATTGAGCGTCAACTATCCCTAAGTCCTTTGGGAAATCGCCGTGATGTGTTTGGTGCCGTTTTTATTTATAAAATTGTAAATGGCTTGATTGACAGCCCAGATCTCTTGAATTATGTAGGTTTAAATGTACCATATTATCAGGGTCTACGCAACAAAAATGTGTTCCATATTCCTTTCCATAGGATAACATATGGGGTTAACAGCCCTTTACATAGGTATATGTCTTTAATTAATTGTCATGATATTGATGTCTTTAATGTATCGATAGGGATTTTTAAAAGGGCAGTTTTGTTATGAAAATAATGGTGTGGAGCAGTATTACTTTAATTAATTTTGTTTTTGTTGATTGATAGTTAATCTATTTTATTTTTGTTTTTTTTTTCTCCTTAAGTATGTGTATATATTTTTTTTTCTTTTCTGGGTAGCTTAGATTGTTTTTCGTTAAGTTTAAATTTTGTTGTTTCTTGTTTTTCTCTTAGTGTTAACGCTTACTTGCTGCAGGTTTTATAATGTATATACCTAACCAATTTATTATTTTTTGTTGTAATTTTGCTGTTAATGGGGTTATCCCGTATAATAAATAAATAAATAAATAAATAAATAAATAAATAAATAAGTCTGTCAGAGTGAATTTCATCGGTTGAAACTAGTTTTCTGACTGTTTCTGACTGTTTTTGACCAATCAAATTCGCTCTGACGGGTTTGTGATTTTTGCAGAAACAGACCTATTATTAGATGACAGGTAGATGTGAATACATATAAAATGTGTACATTTCTTGGACATTAAAGTACCTGTATCTCAAAAACTAATCATAGGATTGGTTCGGGCCCATGAGAACTTTTTATCAGGAAGTCAAGGTCTAACACATAGCAAAATTTCATTGAATTTGACAGAAAACCAAAAACCCATAAGAGGTGTGCGGGGTCCTTTCAGATTCGACGTTTCGTCTTTGGGCGGCCATCATCGACTTCGTTTCTCTAAATACGGACCTGGATTTTTTATTTCAGAATTCAAGAGTTTTTGATGTCCCAAAACCTATGACGTATTGCATTTATTCGAAAAAATATTTTTATTACGTTTTAGCAATTTCCCACCAAAATTCTCTTCTCTGTCTCTCTCTAACACAATAAGTTCTTATGGAAAGTGCCAATAAAATAAATTTTTCGAATAAGTGCAATACATTGGTTTTGGGATATCAGAAACTCTTAAAATCTGAAATAAAAAATCCAGGTCCGTATTTAGAAAAACGAAGTTGATAATGGCCGCCCAAAGACAAAACGTCGAATCTGAAATTTGATAGTTACATCTTATAAAGGGAAAAAAGTGACAATGATGAAATGATATTTATTTTATATCCTACTGAACTATTAAAACCATATAATACGTTGGTTACGATAATCATAAACAGGGTCTTAACTCCCAAGGGAGTTAAGGATTTTCATAACTCCCAAGGGAGTTAAGGAAGGGAGTTAAGGATATCATAACTCCCAAGGGAGTTAAGGATTTCCATAACTCCCGCTTTTACCTTGAATAGGTAACACTTTGACAAAAAATAGAAATTTTTATTTATGGCTTATTCCTTTATAAAAATAGACAGAATACAGTAAATTCAGTAGGATATAAAATTATCTATGTACCACGGGAATTATCAGGAGTTAATACCCACGGGCAATTGGTGTCCCTCGGGACACAAACGTTGCCCTGGGGTATTAACACCTGCATAATTCCCTTGATACATAAATAACTATTATATCCTACTGAACTATTAAAACCATATAATACCTTGGTTACGATAATCATAAACAGGGTCTTAACTCCCAAGGGAGTTAAGGATTTTCATAACTCCCAAGGGAGTTAAGGAAGGGAGTTTAAGGATATCATAACTCCCAAGGGAGTTAAGGATTTCCATAACTCCCGCTTTTACCTTGAATAGGTAACACTTTGACAAAAAATAGAAATTTTTTATTTATGGCTTATTCCTTTATAAAAATAGACAGAATACAGTAAATTCAGTAGGATATAAAATTATCTATGTACCACGGGAATTATCAGGAGTTAATACCCACGGGCAATTGGTGTCCCTCGGGCCGGAGGCCCTCGGGACACAAACGTTGCCCTGGGGTATTAACACCTGCATAATTCCCTTGATACATAAATAACTATTATATCCTACTGAACTATTAAAACCATATAATACCTTGGTTACGATAATCATAAACAGGGTCTTAACTCCCAAGGGAGTTAAGGATTTTCATAACTCCCAAGGGAGTTAAGGAAGGGAGTTAAGGATATCATAACTCCCAAGGGAGTTAAGGATTTCCATAACTCCCGCTTTTACCTTGAATAGGTAACACTTTGACAAAAAATAGAAATTTTGATTTATGGCTTATTCCTTTATAAAAATAGACAGAATACAGTAAATTCAGTAGGATATAAAATTATCTATGTACCACGGGAATTATCAGGAGTTAATACCCACGGGCAATTGGTGTCCCTCGGGCCGGAGGCGCTCGGGACACAAACGTTGCCCTGGGGTATTAACACCTGCATAATTCCCTTGATACATAAATAACTATTATTTCCTACTGAACTATTATAACCACATAATACGTTGGTTACGATAATCATAAACAGGGTCTTAACTCCCAAGGGAGTTAAGGATTTCATAACTCCCGCGCGGGAGTTAAGGATATCATAACTCCCAAGGGAGTTAAGGATTTCCATGACTCCAGCGTTTACCTTGAATAGGTAAAACTTTGACAAAAAATAGAAATTTTGGTTTATGGTTTATTCCTTTATAAAAATGGACAACATACATTAAATTCAGTAGGAAATAAAATTATCTATGTACCACGGGAATTATCAGGTGTTAATACCTACGGGCAATTGGTGTCCCTCGGGCCGAAGGCCCTCGGGCACAAACTTTGCCCTGGGGTATTAACACCCTCATAATTCCCTTGATACATAAATAACTATTAAAATTGCTCTTTAAGTAGACTCAGGAAAAAAATAAAAATGATTTTGCAAAATTTCGGTTTTTTCCGAATATCTTCGGAAGTATTCGGAATTTTTCAAATTTTTGAAAACGGCATTTTATTGGTCATAAAATTGCGCAGCTTTGCCATAATTTAACCGACCTCGTATCTCTTATAGTTTCCGATATCTCAATAGTCACCCTCGATTTTGGGATACCCTGTACAGATCAATTTTGTATTTTCAAATTAGCAAAAAACAATCAATTAATTAATTTTTGAGAAACCTCGCATATTATTATATTACATTATTGAAAAAGTACATTCTACCACCAATATGAGAGTTCTTTTTTTTGGGCAGTGTTATTTTTTTCACTTTCAATAAATGCTAGAAATAACCTACGTAAATCGTTTTACCTCGAAAATACACGGTGTCCCAGTTCAACTGGTCAAAAATGATAGGGTATACAGGGTCCCAACTATTTCATAGGGACAATATTGCTATCTCGGAAACGGTTAAAGTTACGAGGGCGTTTAAATTAAAAAAATGCTGCCATTTTAGAAGACTGTTAAAATTATATATCCGTTGTTGCCAAATTTCTATTAGTTTCGAAATTACAGGGTAATTTTTGAAAATTGAACAATTTCATCAAATATTTTAAAATCTATTGATTTTAGAGACATAAGTCAAATTCAAAAGTTTTATATTTTTAACTTTCTTCAAAAATGGCAACTTTTTCCTAATTCCCTCGTAACTTTAGCCGTTTCCGAGATAGCAATTGATGCTGTCCCTATGAAATAGTTGGGACTATAGGAGAACCATAAAGAATTAGATTGAGATAGGACACCGATGGTCGGAATTGCGTCGTTTCCAACATACAGTGTGTTGAAATTTGAACAACCCTCTTTCATTTCATCTGAAAAAAAAAGCAATTTGTTCGAAATTCTATTTTATTTTTTTGTAGAAAATGGGGGTTCATTATACAAATTTTCAAATATCATTCCTACATCAATAATCCCTGAAAATTTGAACAGCCTAGCATTAACCCTTCAGATGAAATGAAAGGGGGTTTTTTATTTAAATTGAAATTCTTCATCAACCATCGATATCCTATCTCAAACTACTTGCCAATGGTTCCTCTACACTAGCATTTTTGACCTGTTGAACAGGGTGTCCCCCCCTGTATACTTTAAATACACAAAACAAACAAAGAATTATTTTTATTGATACATTGGAAAGACAAAGTTAAAAAAGTATGACTTAAAAATTAAAATTCCTTATCCCTTAATTACAGCAATAGGTCTTAATTTAATCGCTTTCTTAGAAATACCAGCCGCATGACAAGTATCCACAACATCGGTAACGTTTTTGTACGATTCGGGAGCCTCTTCCATGACCAACTTGGGAGACGCCACTCGAATAGCGATATCCATGTCTTTTAGTTTTTGCAGTACATCTTTGTATTCGATGTTTCGTCGTGATTTTGCTCTAGATAAGGCTCTTCCCTAAGAAAAAGCATGTAAATTGTTTTACGTTTTTAGTAGGAAAACAATGTCTATTTGATTATAAAATATACAGGGTGTTCCTTTTCTTAAAATACATCTTTTGCATGCACCCGGTATAGATAAAAGTTATATTTTCTAGCGGTTCTTGTAAATCCCTATCTTGCTTCATAAGTGAGCTATGCTGTCAACCCGGTGCAAAGAATACAAAAAAACCCAAACAAATCAGGGGAAAAAAGACAATGCAGAAGGTCAAGAAGAAACAGTAGGAAATTGAAGGAAATGAGAGGAGTATTCCTGGATTGGGATTAGGAAGCTGTAGAATATTATAATTAAATAGGTACTTACAGCTCCATGACAAGTAGATCCAAAAGTTTCAATCATTCCTTGTAGGGTACCAGTCAAAACGTAACTGCAAGTGCCCATAGTACCACCAATCAGAACAGGCTGGCCAGTTAATTGATAATCGACTGGAATTAGAGGGTGGTGCGGTGGAAAAGCTCTAGTTGAACCCTGTAGAAATTCAAACAAAATTTACATTACTAATCTATCAAAATTTCAGTTCTATTTGTAGCCCGAAACAAATGTTGAACATTAAAATATGTATACCAAAACGATATTACCTTTCTGTGAACTAGAAGTGTTTTATGTCTGCCATCAACAATATGTTCTTCTATTTTAGCAATATTATGAGAAACATCATAGATGACGTGCATATCTAAATCGTCTGGAGCCATTCCAAATTGTTTTGCAAATGCCTGAAATTGGGTAAAAAAGTGTTAATTATCAAATGCAGATAATGTTCTTCATCTTACCTGTCTAGTTAAAAACGTCATCGAGCTCCTATTGACCCAAGCAAAATTAGCAGCCGCAGCCATAGATTTCAAGTAATCCTGCCCTTCTTTCGAATTAATTCTAGCACAAGCCAATTGCCTGTCATTAGTTTCTATCTTATCCCGTTTCATTGCTTTCTCCATTTCCACTAGAGCATCGGTGGCTACTTGATGGCCGAAACCTCTACTCCCCGAATGAATCATAACGCAAACTTGCCCCTTTTCTTCTATACCCATTTTGGCTGCAGCCCATTTGTCAAAGATTTCGTCAACAACTTGGATTTCGACGTAATGATTTCCTGCGCCTAAAGTTCCTAGTTGAGGTAGGCCTCGTTTTTTGGCCCTCATGCTGACTTTAGCTGGATCGGCGTTGAGCATCCGGCCGTATTCTTCGCAGTGCTCCTTGTCTTCGGCCCAGGAATGGCCTTCTCTTAGGGACCAATCCATGCCCATCTCTAAAGCTTCTTCGAGGTCTTTGGCATTCATTGGAATAATACCTGCGACAAACGAAATTATTATGCGAATAATTAAAAGAATTTTGGGAGTTTTACCTTTAGAACCGACACCGACGGGAATGTGGTCGAAAAGACTTTGGGCTAGGTTTTCTTTTACTGGTGCGACATCTTTTTCATAGAGATTTGTCCGCAACAACCTTAAAAAATTAATTCAATCAATACATAATACCATCTATTCCTATGATTTGAATTAAATTCGCATGGAAAAGTGTCCTATTTCTAAAGAAAAAAAAATATTATTCGCTCTTAAATAATGTGAATATGTACCATAAAAAGTCGTTGAAAAAAATATTATTATCCGAAATTAAAAATGAAAAAATAATAATAATCATGTATATCACAAGATTACAACAAAAGCCTTAAGAAAAGCCAAGCGAGACTCATGGAGAAACTTCTGCCAAGAAGTTGAAAACACTTCGCAAGCTGCACGCCTTCATAGAATACTCGTGAAGGACACGTGTAACATCATAGGGACGTTGAAACGCCCAACGGGAGAGTATACAACTTCTGGAAAAGAGGCTCTGAAGCTATCGCTCCGAACACGCATTCCAGATTCAATAATCAGTCAGCAGGACGAACAGCTCTCATCTGAGTAGATCTAGTGCCATTGCAAATGTTAAGAGTGCCACCAAACCGAAGTATAGCAGTTGTTACATTATTTGTATTTATCGTCTACCTAGTTCTACTGCTTGAATCTTTTAAACTAAGTACTGCTAGTCTAGCGTCGCTTCCAATTAGCGTTAAATTAATTATTTGTCTGATACACATGAAACTCAATCTCTTAACTTAAAATATGCTTGTTACGGAGCCCTACACGAATTTTAGCTCATCTCAAACATTAATAGATTATTTTTGTGTTAGTTTTGTACCAGAACTGACTATTGATATTCGTGTTATTCCTTAAGGGGTTATCGGATCAAGAGCCGGTTTTGACCAATATCAGTTTTCCTAAAATTGTGAATAGTGAAGAATAGTGGAGCAAAATTTAATTTGTTACGAGACCTGAGTGGAACCACTTGAGTATGTAAAATGTGAAGACCGGCAAAAATTCTCACAATTCGTATTCCTGTGAAGCTAAAGAATGGGAAAGTACATCTTGCCGGCAGCTGGAGTGGTCCCCAACTCTCCTGCCATCCCCCAATGCAAAGTTATATTGAAAATATCACAATTTCAAATCATTTCACAATAATTCCTATTGATTGTACTTAAGGCTTTCTTTTCAAGCACTCAAAATAAATTACCTACCACTTGTTGGATATCTTTGTAACTCTGCTCCAAAATATACACAAGTAAAAGAAGACTGCGAGATGTACAGGGTCATCCAACGACGAATGAACAGGAGCTTATTTTTTACCTTTTCTGTTCCTGTAGTTTTGAAAAAATTCAAAATAGCCAATTGGCATATTTTTTTTTCTGGAAAATTCAATAATGGTACCAAAAAAATCATTTGAAATTTGAGAAACCAAAGAGTTCGAACATGGATGAACTGATGGAACCGAGGGTCGAGTGATACCTGTTCTAAAAAAGCGTTCAATTTTCTTTCAAATGAAATAAAATGAAAGAGTGAAAGAGAATTGAACGCTCCTTTAAAAGAGATATCACTCAACCCCTTGTTCTATTTGAAATATTTAGTATAAGGGCTTGGTCCCACCCCAACTAGGGGGTTAAAGTTGAAGTGCTAAAAATGGTTGCAGACATGGGCGCCGGCAGCAGGGTGCAAGGGGGTGCACTTGCACCCCCCTGTCAGAAAAACATTGAAAAACTTATTTTTTATTTTATTATTATTTTTTTAAGGGGGCCCGGCCCCCCCCCCCCCAGAAATGTATTTTTAATTTTTAGTTACTGAATAAGCACATTAACAAACCCCAAACGACTCGGTCACTGTTTGAAAACCTAGAGGATTTGGATTTACACACCGAACTGTGTCGGACCCACACTCATTGAAATAATTTTCACACCAATAACCAGGTTTTCGAACGCAACCCAGGGCTGGGATCACGATGAGTAGAACTGTGGTAGAATTCTACTTTCATGACGTCACCCGCGACTTATTTATCGCGTACAGTACATAGGATGATGATAGTTGCTAGGCAACCTGACGTCATGAAAGTAGAATTCTCCTTGTTGTGATCCCAGCCCTGGTATGCCAGGGTGATTTTGAACGCACTCCAGGATAAAACAGAGACAGACATGTCTGATGGAAGAAAGGGAATAGGAGTGAGAGAGACACACGGGGGGATCAATACATTCGATCAGTCACATTGATGTCCTCACTTCCGTCGGGATTTTTGTTTCGATTTTTTATTCCACTACCCCCGCTCAAGGTTATTTGAGAGAGGCAGGTTCCCTGCAAGGATGATACACCCCTACAGGATTGCTTATCGGCATCGTTTTTGGTAATCGCCGCCATATTGGTGTGTCGCCATTTTCGACGTCATAACTAACTCGGCAGCTATTCTCAAACAGGCTACGTCAAGGCGAGAAATAACATGCTGCCTACGTAACAACTGGTGATTTGACGAGGAGGGAATTTTTTCCACACAGGCTTTATGAGGATAAGCTATCCTGTAGTAGTAATGTGTATCATCCTTGGGTTGCCTGGATAACTCGATGACGTCATCTGGGGTGCCTCAACATAATGCAAATCGCCATCCCAGATGCGTCATCAAGTTACCCATTACCAGACAACCTAATAATTTTAGGAACCTTGACCCCCGCTAAAGAAAGATAATTAATTTTATTTGGTTTTATTGTTACGTTGGCCCCCTCCCCAGATGAAAATCGTAAATACGCCACTGCTTGAGACAGTCTTTGGGTCACTTCGGGCTTACTTTTCGCGCGCCATCAACTTGTAGAATGGCGGGAATTTCGAATTTACTTAATTTATAGTTTATTGATATAAATTTCTTTAAGTTTTAAATTCCGAGAAGTCCATGCCACTTCTCACCGAGGTGAAAACATCATATAATTTACTCAATCTCCTAATTTTTTTTTTTTTACTACTAACCTGAGAAGTAGTCATAATTCAATCTATTTTTCTGGGAAAAAATTGAATTTCTCTCCCTATGTTAATAATGAAAATAATGAAAAAAAAAAACCTAGGTCAATAATGAAAATGACGTCATGACGCAAGGATATTGGCATAACGTAACAGGTTTCTATTGGTTTAATGTTTAATTTGAATTTCAAACTGTCAATTTAAAAAAAAAAACAAGTTCCTGTATATACGACATCATAGGAAATTACCATAAGCTGTTGATATAGGGCAACACTTCCGACAAGAAAAAATATTTTAAGCACAGATTTCAAACTAATCTTTTATTTTCTACTAGCAGTAGTAAAAAAACTTCTATATATTCCTCGGTAGAGAATGTCATTATATACCTTACGCATTATATACCTCGGCGCTTCGCGCCTCGGTTTATAAAAGCGCTCGGTATATAATGGCCAACTTCTCTACCTAAGTATATAATGTACTATTTTTGGAAATTCAAAATAACCGTTTTTGGCATCCAAAAAAATTTTCGCGCATCCGGCAACGCCTGCGTCGGGCATTCACCTTCTTAAATAAGTTATTTGAACCAATAGAACAATCCACGCGCCGCCACTGCCTGTATGCACCTCCTTGGAACTAATCCTGGCGGCGCCCATGGTTGCAGAATTAGGCAATCCAATCCGTCTATCAAAAAGGAAAATTCAATATGGCGTGGCGGCCAAGCAAGTTTGTTTTGCATATGTTTTTATGCGTATTTTAAATTATAGACTGATAGAGTTTTGCTTGCAACTTTGATTTTGATTAGGTATTTCATAAAATATTTGTTGACTAGGTACCTAAACTATTAAATCGGACAGAAACTAGATATTTTTTTGTGTTTTTTGGTCCATGTGTGGCCGCCACGCCATCTTGAATGTCACGTGGTTTGGATTGCCTAATATTCCCCCTTTTGAAAATCAAATAACGTTTACGAGCGATTTTTTAAAAAATAAACGTGCCATCAGATATTTAGCCTGTTTGGTTTTAAATGGTACACCCTGTATATGACAAACTGTATGCAGAAAATTTTTGAAAATTTGACAGTATACCAATGACTAATGACAATGGGGGCAACCCGGCTGAAATATTTTCAAGATGGTGGCTTTTTCGGTTATACTCTTGGGTTATACTGGAAGTAATAATGTCTGCCCAGCGACTCTGTGTCTACGGGGCAACGGTAAGGGGAATGCAGTTGTAAAAAAAAATTGCTGATTTCATTCATAAAATACCCAGATGCGTGCGGAACTTTTTGGAAGTGTTATTGTATTGCAACTTGTACACGAAAATCGACAATGACCAAACCCCCGCCACTGGGTATTTCAGTATAAATCGATATTCCAAGATGGAAGGATGAAATGACGGAAGCCCTGGCCAATAGCGAGACGTAAAGTGACATTAGCCCATTGACAACCGTACGGTTCCCCGTGGCAACGGCCATCCTGCCACAAACTCCACCAATCAGATTCATCCAGGCCGGATGCTTGCCAAATTGTCCCAAGCTGATGGTATCTTTAGAACATGTTCATTTTTTACAATGGACAAAATTCAAGAAACCAGTTATTAAGATAAGAATAGATCTAACAACCACATTGAAATATTTAGCGTTATATTGGTATCTATATTTTGTTATTAAAAAATGGATTTTCAAATCAACTATACTTCATACCTAGTATTTTCGCGTTTTGTAAGACAATAGACGTCAACTTGCTTATTTTAAATAAGACGCCCTGTGTGTGATTGCATATTTGGATTCTACGTAAAATTCTGAGCAGATTTTATGTGATATCAAATACAGGGTGACCCACGGTGGATGGCGTATTAGAAGTTTATGCAGAACTAAATAGAGGATCATTTTGAAAATTTGGCAACCGGGACAAACACCCATGATGTACATTTCAAAAATATTTTTGACCATGCGGTGTTGCCGCTTCTACTCTAAACCAATGGCAACATCGCTATTTTAAATGAAACACCCTGTATACTTTTAAATTTTTGAATTCGGTATTTAATAAATATGAGCAACTTTTCCTAATATGTAATTCCCTATATCTATCTATCGCCGTTTTTCGGGAATAAATTAATTTCAATTTTTTTTTACGATAA